ATTTCAAGATTATGTTCTCTCATCCATTCTTCTATTTTAACAAAAGTGTTTTTGAGCCGTTCATTTAATCCGTTCATATTTTTGCATGAGGTGAGTAGTGATATGTCATCTGCAAATAGTACACACGGTTCCTTTGTAATCTTCGGGAGGTCATTGATGTAAATTAAGAAGAGTAGACATCCGATTACACTACCTTGCGGTATTGACGCATTTATGATTTTTTTGTCCGATCTAATGTTTATAATTTCTTTAAATTCAAAGTTATAATTATCTATTTCTACGTATTGCTCTCTATTTTTTAGATATGAAAAACCATTTGTGCGCTTTTTCTCTAATTCCTATTTTATATAATTTATCTAGTAGAATGTTAAATTGGACTTTGTCATACGCTTTAGTCATATCTAGGAGTATTCCGACTGCATATTGTTTGCTATTTATTATATTAATGGCTTCCTGCATATATTTATAGACAGCAAGGGTTGTTGAACGCTGTTTGCGGAATCCGTTTTGGCTTTCATCAAAAATTTCATATTTTTCGCAAAACTTGTATACGCGGTTGCACATAGCTTTTTCGAAAATTTTTGAAGCTGTTGGTAGTAGGGCTATGGGGCGGTAGTTATTCGGGTCGGTTTTAGAGTTTTTTTTTATGTATTGGCTTAATTATAGCTTTCTTTAGTAGATCAGGAAATTCGCCGTCTTCAAAGGATTGGTTGGTTAGTACACAGAAGGGCAGTGTAAGTTCATTTGCACATTGTCGAATAAGGGAAGGAGGAAGTTCGTCTATACCGAAACTTTGTTTATTTTTAAGATTATTTATGATATTATATATTTCACGATAGTTCACTGGTTCAAGGAAGAAAGTGTTTAAAGTGGAGTCAAGTACAGGCAAGTTCTGCGATTTATAGTCTGATTTTTGTATACTTTTTTCCCCGACTGATGCAAAGAATGTATTAAATTCATTTACTATTTGATTAGGATCTGAGATTAGAGTATTTTTTATTTGTAGTTGAATATTATGTGGTTCTCTAATTGGTATTTTATTGGTACGTTCACGTATAATATTCCACATAGTTTTAGTTTTGTTTTGCGATATTTTTAATTTATTTATGTAATGTAATTTTTTGGCTTTGTTTACTGTAAGTTTTAATATTTTTTCATAATTTCTGTAATATTTCTTTATAATTGGATTGTTAGATTTTATACATAAAGTTTTTAATAGTCTTTTATTTTTGCATGAAAGTAGTATTCCTTTAGTTAACCAGTATTTTTTACAATAATTTTTAAATTTTAGTTTTCGTTTTGGTATAGTTTTATCCAGAATATTTAGTATTATGTCATTAAATGCTTGGTAATTTTGGTTTATATTATTATTTTTAGTAATGATATCACTCCAATTTACTGTAGTTAGTTCTTGTTTAAATTTATTTATGCTATTTGAGTTAAACAACCGCTTTTTTATATACCAATTTATATTATTTTGTTGGTGTGGTATGTTAAAGCTTAGTATAGTACCATAATGGTCTGAAAAACCCATTTCTTGTACATGTGTGAGTAGATTTTTTGTATTAAAGTTAGTAAATACCAAATCTAAGCATGTGGATGTGGTTTGTGTTATGTGAGTTGGCTCTTTTATATGTTGTGTTAGTTTGTATTCAGACATAAGATCAAGAAAGGTATTAGTTTTTAAGTTATTTTTTAGTAAATCTATATTTAAGTCTCCCCCGAGTATTATTTTAAATTTAGAGAATTTTTTATTTACATACGTTAATATTTCTGTGAGTTTTGTTGTAAAATATTTCTTCCTCTCTCTATTCCAATATATTTTATTAATAGTACATTTATTCTTGGGTTCTGACGCACAAACTTCTCTACATATTCTATTGACATGCTTGATATATCGTTTCTCTCTATATGCTCTATGTTTTCTTTTAGGAGTATGCAAACGCCGCCTCCTCCTCGGCTCTGTCGGCAGTAAGATGCTGCTATTTTGTATCCATTGAAGTGTATCATATTTAATTTATCTTGGGATAGCCATGTTTCCGTTAGGCATATTGCTTGATATTTTGGATTTTCGTTGACAAAAGCTTCTATTATGTGCTGTTTGTTGTATAGACTTTGGATATTTTGAAATAATATGTTAATAGGTTGTTCTGTTTTTTCGAAATGTATGATTTTCCTGGTCGAAATCAGGTATAGTAGTAGCTTCGCCATCGTCACTTCTGTTATTTTTGTTCTCATATTTGCTGCTTTGCGTAATGTATGTATCTAAATCTTCTTTTTTATGAATTTGTTCTCCTTCTATAAATATTTTTTTATTTCTAATCACTGCGTGGAGTCCTTTTTTTCGTGCAATAAGCATTTTTTCTCTCAAGATATTCATCTCTTTTCGTTCTTCATCGTTTAGGAATTCGGTTATATTTAGCCCAGTTCCATAGAGTAGTCTGTTATTATTAATTAAGTATTTAACCATTCTTTTACTAATAAGTTCAATGACCAATGGTCTGGTTCTGTTGTGGTTTGGTCTTCCAATCCTATAGGAGTCCTCTATGTAGCCCAACAAGTCTATTTGTAAAGTGTCGCGGAATACATTTATAATTCTATTGTGTAATTCATATTCAGATTCTCTTTGGTTTTCTATAAGGCCGTATATTACAAATTTCTTGGTGTTACTTTCAGAGGGAAATGATTTACTTGCTAGTTTTTTTATTTCATTTTGCAAGGAGTTTGTTTCTTTGTTCAGTTTTTCTATCTGTAGATTAAGTGCTTCTATTTCAGCTTTTCTCTGGTCATTTTGCTCAATCAGGTTACTAGTTTCTCGTTTCATGTCTTCTTTTAGCTTCAAGGTCGCTTTATTTATTTCAGATTGTATCATAGTTTGTATTTCCTGTAGTATTGACTTATTATTTTCTTTTAATTTCAAAGTAATCATTTCGGCCAAATTATGTAATGTTAACTCTTTTTCTTTATGTGTTTCGATATTTGCTTCCATAGTATCCCCCAAAATGCTCAAGTCTTCGGAATTTATTGTGTCATTTTTATATTGACTTTGACTTGGTTTATTTCTAAATGTAATGTTTGTTGTATCATTTTGTCATTTTTATATTGACTGTGTCATTTTTATATTGACTTTGACTTGGTTTATTTCTAAATGTAATGTTGTATGTGGGCAATTATAGGCTGTTATAATATGTAACCAAATACATAGGTACAATATTCCGTGCATAGGTAGGTACAGTACACGTGAAACTGAGATGCATCTTATTTGATGTCAGTTAAATATGTATAATCACATGTAATGAAACACGTACTTCCTTCTTTTTAAAAGACGGGTAAAAATATTTCATCAGTTGGAATCGTGTGCAAATGTTGTCGAAAATGGTCATTTGAATCTTATATGTAGATACCTAATTAGTTGCGGGGCTTCTGTAATTGTTGCGCACATTTTTAAAGTTGCGCTTATAGGTAAAAATGTTCGCAACAATTACAGAAGCCGCACATCTAATTATCTATAAGATTCAAATGACTATTTTCGACAACATCTGGCCTGGGTAACGCACACGTCAGAATCGGCATCTGAGGTTCTAAAGTGGCAGGGGAGACGTAGATTTTTTTTTATATTGAGTTAAATAGGAATAAAAATATCTGTGCTGTAGGTATTTAACTACTTATATTAAATAACAATCATCTTTAAAATAATATATTACTGCTAACTTAAACTAACTTAATAAATATCAAGATAAACAAAGAAATACATTCAGTTCCATTGTTATACACTTCCATGATGTTCTATTGCGTAATATATAACTAAATCTGATCTTATTACTCTAGTAGATTACAATACGCTGTCTATATAGAACTAAATCTGTACCACATATCTACTATTGGGATATTATTACTACTAAGCCTTCGCAATATTCACTGTTAAGTGTTAAACAATATTATTACAAACCGTAGTGTGTCGGTAGACACATTCGGTTTAGAAACACAAAATTAAGCCATTAAACTGTCAAACACCAAGCGGTCACCGGTGACCGCGACCTATTGTTCTTTAATTGTGTCTATAAAACCGGTACTCGACGAGTTAATTTGATAAACCGCTTGCATCGAAGATGGGAAATTGCCCCTAGGAAAAGTTGATTATAAACAGCTGTTCTGGCGACAGATTGGTGCAATGGTGTCTTGCACCCTTGTGTACCCTTTAGCGGCTAAGTCACCGTCAGTAGCGGCCTGCGGGAGTGACGGAGTCGCGCGTAGTGTGGCGCGCGTCAGTAGCGGCCCGCGGGAGTGACGGAGTCGCGCGTAGTGTGGCGCGCGTCAGTAGCGGCCCGCGGGAGTGACGGAATCGCGCGTAGTGTGGCGCGCGTCAGTAGCGGCCCGCGGGAGTGACGGAGTCGCGCGTAGTGTGGCGCGCGTCAGTAGCGGCCCGCGGGAGTGACGGAGTCGCGCGTAGTGTGGCGCGCGTCAGTAGCGGCGCGCGGGAGTGACGGAGTCCCGCGTAGTGTGGCGCGCGTCAGTAGCGGCGCGCGGGAGTGACGGAGTCGCGCGTAGTGTGGCGCGCGTCAGTAGCGGCCCGCGGGAGTGACGGAGTCGCGCGTAGTGTGGCGCGCGTCAGTAGCGGCCCGCGGGAGTGACGGAGTCGCGCGTAGTGTGGCGCGCGTCAGTAGCGGCGCGCGGGAGTGACGGAGTCCCGCGTAGTGTGGCGCGCGTCAGTAGCGACGCGCGGTAGTGACGGAGTCCCGCGTAGTGTGGCGCGTGTCAGTAGCGGCGCGCGGGAGTGACGGAGTCCCGCGTAGTGTGGCGCGCGTCAGTAGCGGCGCGCGGGAGTGACGGAGTCCCGCGTAGTGTGGCGCGCGTCAGTAGCGGCGCGCGGGAGTGACGGAGTCCCGCGTAGTGTGGCGCGCGTCAGTAGCGGCGCGCGGGAGTGACGGAGTCCCGCGTAGTGTGGCGCGCGTCAGTAGCGGCGCGCGGGAGTGACGGAGTCCCGCGTAGTGTGGCGCGCGTCAGTAGCGGCGCGCGGGAGTGACGGAGTCCCGCGTAGTGTGGCGTGCCAGTCGCAGGCTGGCGGCGTGCATGGAGGAGCGGCGGCGTCGCGGCGCGCCCGGCCCCAATCCGGACCCCGAACGCGCGCGCTCCGCCTCCGCTTCAGCTTCCGCTTCCGCCTCTGCATCCACCTCCGCTCCACATTGCAACGACTGCACCGACTGCGCCGACCGCTCTGACTGCACCGATTCACTCGATGATCCACTCAATGGACCCTGTCAGATGGACGCCATATATATTATCTATGGTTTTAGGGACTTCTCGTTCAAGAACATGTCAACTCCATAACGCCATACAGATTTTAATATTTGTAAAGAGAAATATCTCTCTTTGCTTTCTATTACTTTTTATTTATTTATAATTCATGGAGGACTTACAGCTTATAAAAATGGATAAAAATAACAATAGGCGTAGGTAACAATGAGCCAATAACAAGTCCTCACATTTAGGATTTGGAATAAATTAATTAATATGGTGTGAGTACTATACAATATTAAAAATACATACATTCTGCGTAAATGAAAAAAAAAATATTGAAATAGACCATACAGACAATATGATTATAAACGGATCAAGAGAAACGATAAAAAAAAACTAATTATCTAGTGCTGCTTAAAAAATTTGAGGCTTAAGCACCTCTTTGCCGAGTTCACACTAGTTGTAAACGGATCGAAGTCATATTCCTTACAAACATTGTTAAAGTGTCTGCTTGCACGCACAATGTAACTGTTCTGCCTGTAGTTAGATGAGGAACGGGATACGTGTAAAGGTGGATTAAATCTAAATATTTTATTAGGTACATTAAATTTGATTTTTGATAGGTAATAGTTCTGGACTATCCACATTGCCGTTAAGAACCTTAAACAAGAATAGACAATCTGCAATATTGCGTCTATCTACCAATGGTAATAGATGGAATTTTCTACAGAGTTCAAGATAACGGGCAGACTGGTATGGTATATTTTGGTAAAAGCAGAGATATTTTATAAAACGTTTTTGAATGTTTTCCACGCGGTCAATATATTTCTGATATCTTGGATTCCATACCTGAGACGCATACTCCAGCTGGCTCTTGACATAAGTGCAATATAGTATTTTAAGGGTCTTTGCATCGGTGAAGTTTTTTGAAAGGCGCATTATAAATCCAAGCAGTTTAGAGGCTTTTTTGACGATTGCATCAATATGTGTATCGAAAACCAATTTGCTGTCTTGATGGACGCCTAAGTCACGGATAGTAGTGCATCTTGGTAAGGGCTGACCCGCTAAAGTATAATTAGTGACATGGACAGTGCGCTTTCTAGTGTAAGTGACTACGAAACACTTAGATGGGTTGAGATCCAGTTTATTTATCCGACAATACTCTTCAAGCCGATGCAAATCCGCCTGGAGTGCCAGACCATCGTCAGGAATTGAGGTAGTAGCTGACAGTTTCATGTCATCAGCAAAACATAAAAGTTTGGATGTATGAAAGCATTTTATCCATAATAGATTTCATATCGCTATAAACTGATTGAGTTGATTAAGAGCCGTTCGAAGATAACGCTCCGCTCGGAGACATGCCATCAAGTCTTCAGACAGACCTGCAAGGGTTTGACAGACTGCTCGAAGCGGAAGACGAAGCGCAGCTCGGCCCAGAACTGCGTATGGAAGCGCTGGGCGTGCTGGCGCGCGCGGCGCGCGGCGGCCCAGGCCAGGTCGCAGCACGACAGCACGATGCCCAGCGCGCTGCCCACCACCAGCACCAGCCACAGCCCCAGGAAGTTGCTCATGGACAGCTCCTCGCTCTCGTGCTCCTCGTCCACCTGCAAGCATGCTCGTGCGATATCCGACTTCGAGTGACTACAAAAACAAGATGTTTTTTCATGTCGCTCCGTACTTCTATTATTACCGGTCATCCTTTGTCATTGGTGTTTTTAAATATTCACATAAGTGTAGTCAGCCTTCGTACCCTATGACTTCCCACCCCATATTAACAAACTTATAATGATAACAACCCCCTTTGTGAACCCGGCTGCTCAGTCGGTCAGAGAAGAGGTTAGGACCATTGTCCTGGCCACTCGGTGCCTTTCATTAAATGTGTTCGTTCGTTCAACACGTGACAGTGGCTACGGAAGTACCTTGCAGGCACCACCGCCGTGTTTCTCTTTCCACCAAATATTCTGCATTTCGCGAAGAGTGCCCGCCTCCTGCAGGTTCAGCAGGCCCAGGTTCAATGCTTGCCGGAACTTGGAGTCTGTCGCATAACATTATGAGGTGTAATATTTGTAAATACAGAGATCACATATCGAGGGGTACAGAAGCACTTACTCTTCTTCATCGCGATGCCGTATCCTTTGCTGTCGAGCAGCGAGCCCACCTGTGGACACGACACTGGTTGACTCGACCACTCGCCTCCGACACTCTAGTCAACTCTAGTTGGGCACGTGAGCCTCTTACCTTCGTGACGCCACAGTTTCGTTCAGTCTCGTAGTCGATCGTCGTGGACTCCATCAGAAACGCGTACTTGCCGCTCTCCACCCTGGAATCATCCGCCAGGGTGAGCACAGACTGTGACAGCACGAGCACTTATTATGTGAAGTCATACGTTACTTGCGAATGCCTTCCAGGTTGGAGGTGGGCATCTTCCTGGTGCGCATGTGTTGGAACATCCGTTGGTACAGCTCGCTCTGTGAGTGCTGGAAGTAGAACGAGTTGGAACTGTATTAAGTACTACAGCTCCGACTGTACAACGTTTACGAATGCCAGAAAGTATAATTAATACAGAGATCACCCGGTCCCGCTATCTATTGCGATATGACACAAGCATTCGACTACGTAGATAAATATAATATATATTAATAAATAAAATTGACGATCGATTAATTCGATCTTATTTAACAAATCGACAATTAAATAAAAGAAAACTAACAATTACTATTTACACAAAGCATCGAAAAATTCGTCTGCATCGACGTCAGTAGGGAAAGTACCCAGAAGGTAGCAGTTTACTTTTATTTAATTTTTATCTTTTTGTATCTTAAGTTATATAGTAATAGTTAGTATTTATTTTATTTAAGTTTATATCATTTGTAAATACAAGATTAATCGAAAACAAATGACATTAATAAGCACAATTAATTATACAACCAAAAAAGAAGAAACATACACCTCTAACTCTCTGTGAAGCGCTGTGTGTCATACTCATACGGTGTTTCCCAAGGCACCGTAATGGGTCCAATTTTACTTATTATTTATATTAACGACTTGCCAAATGCAACGAATTAACCTATGACATTATTTGCTGACGATAGCACAGTTACTATAGCATGTAAGGACATTAACCGTTATAACTCAGACATACATTAGTCTTTGACATCTATAATTTTATGGGTGAATAGAAATAAATGTCACTAAAAACTAAAACCAATATGATGCACTTTGGATAAAGACTACAAAATTCTCGTAATGTGCATACAATTAATTTATATTAATTATACAATAATAGATAAACTAATACGGCTTGTTCTCTTGGCTTAATTATTGACAGTAAGTTAAACTTGAAAGAACACATTGACTTACTAAATAAAAAGAGAAGTAGTCTCTCATATGCACCATATAAACTAGCTCCAACCATCCGCCATAATGCAGTTCTGTGTGCATACTATGGACTAGTTGAATCCATCCTCAGGTATGGCATTATCTTTTGGGGTAATTCCACTAACAAGTCTTTAAAGTGCAAAAATGATGCATACGTGCTTTGTACATATATGTATGTATACAGACGGTTGTAAACCAGTATTTATAAAATACATACAGTCGCGGAATGCCGCTCATGAATATGAGCCTCTAGCATGGCTTCGAACTAGTCGAGTTCCTCGTCAAATTATTACGTGAGTAAGCGGGAAATAAAATGATCTTTACTTTTTGTCTTTGAAGAAATCGGGCCTGCCCTAGTACGATCCTTACAAACGTTGGCTTCCAGACATGTCCGCGTCTGGCCCTACAAGTGCAATATTGATGAAATAATATTAATAACATTTTCACCTCGAAAAATGTGTACGTGGAGCCTCCGTACTTGGCACCGTAATCGATGCCGAGCTGATTGTCTGCCAGCTCTTGCACGTTGTTGATAACTTGATCAGAGGACTTCGTGGCTAGCAGCGTCGCCAGGTTGGCCGTGTAGGAGCTGGTGATGACCAGCGCGAACAGCCACCATACGCTGGCCACGGCGCGAGTGCTGTAAGCCCTGCAACACGAGGCGGTGAGGCCTGGAGGGCTGGGGGCTGGGCGCGGGGGGCTGGGGGTTGCCGGGGCCGGGTCTCACTTACACGGGTGCAATCTCCGAGCCCTGTAGCAGCACGGCGCCCAAATTGAACCACAGCGCGTTGGCCAGAGTGAACTGGTTCTCGAGTGCCGGAGGGTCCTCGATGCAAGGATAGGGGTTCTGCCACTCTTCATGGCACAAGCGCCCCACCACGTACAGAATCAGCGACGTTCCCAGGTACGCGAAGCCAAGACACAGCCACACCTGCTCAAACACACGTCTTCAAGATTTTTTTCTATTAATATTCTACTGTACATTATCACTCAACTAAGTCCATTGGTTCAGTTTAGTTTCCCGAGCTATTCCGGGATCAAAACTATCCTACATCCTATCCCGAATTTCACTCGACTAGGGCTTAGAAAATAGAGAGTACCTACCATTTTAAAATAATTTTTATTTTATAAGGAGAGCTTTTTTCTTAATACTGGGGCTACATTAGCGGGCGAAGATTCATATCGTGTTCTCGCAAAATACATCAATTTTCGTATGTAGACAAGAGAATCGTGTTTTCTTGTCTACATTGGTGGGCGAGGGTTCAGAGAGCGGCCTACGGCGAATATTCGTTGGTTAGTTGTGCGGTTCAGACGACGGAGGAGATTGTGCCCCATCATAAGAAAAATACATCAGCCCCATTACTAGATACAAAAAGGCACATTGTACAATAAAAAGTACCCTACGTCCGTCTATAAATAAATCAGACGAGTATGTTGCAATTAAGATTTGAAATACAATTTGCTGTCACTATTATCTAGCCAATCAGATGACTCCAGCTGCCTTACGCCATTCGAGAAAGGCAGCAGGAACGCGAAGATCGCGGGCTCGGGCTGCTTGGGCGTGCGGAACAGGATGCTGATGCCGAGGTTCATGAAGGGCGTGGTGAAGTCCACCGCGCGCTCGCGCTCCGCCGTGATGGTGAGGTCCGTGATGGCGAAGTCGATGCTCTGCAACAAGGCGCGACATCACACACTGCCTGGCGCCGCGCGCCTGGACCTGCCCGCGCTCACCTCGTCCTCCATGAGCCGGCCCAGCATGCCTGACCACTTGTTGGTCACGTTGTCTTTGGTGCCGTAGTCACCGTCCTCCTGCTCCACGAACGTGTAGTTGAACTGCAGTAGCTTCGCCAGCTTATCGATCAACTCGATGCAGAACCCTGGGAACCAGGCCGAGCTAGTTATCCGCGCCTGTGGCTGCCGCATACGTGGGCCGCTAGCGGCAAGGCTCACAACTAGGCTCCGTACTTAGGTACCGCCCCACTAATCCCACTCAAATATTATATTTCGGTTATATTATTTATTTTAAAATCCCCGAGACACAAAGTTTGAGGTTCATATTATCCATATTACCTACTAGCAATCAGATAGTAGTTACCTTCATAGCGATCATTCCCTGACAGCCGGTGCATCGACTCCTGCATCATCACGTACGGCTTGTTCTGCAACACAGAGAGCGCACAACATTTCTTATGATTTGCATTGTCAACAAGTGACCCGATCTCTAAGAAAAAAGTGAATCAGTGGGTGGGCAACCCAGTAGTAGTATGTACATAATGTTTACATCAGTATTTGTACACGAACTACAACAGGTGTACACTTCATTACAGTCGGAGTCGTGTATCGAGTGGTAATGCAACATAAGAACAAGACATTTCATTGCAAAACAGTCCATGTTTGGTCTATGCTCGTTCCAACTATGTGGAGCGAGCATTTAGGGAGGCAACCCTTATTTTCATTTATTTTTGATACAACAACAAACAGGCACATAAAAAATGTTACATAAGAAAACAATACGTTCAAAAAGACTTCGAGTTCCATACAATTTTAAAGTGTAGTATAAGTAGGTACCTAGACACAATTCACTCCAAACAGAATACACAAGTACATACATGCAGTCAAACATAAATTGTATTGTTTTAAGAGTTGGTTGCGCAATTTTACTTCATAAGATGCTAAACTGTGGTTAAACATATACAGGGTGACTTGTAACTCGGCGTATTCCTCTCAGGAGGTGATATTACAACTAATTTCCTACAAAATTAGTCCGAAATTGGCTAGTTTCTGAAATATTCAACATTTTAATAAAAAACTACTAGTTTGATTAGAAAAAATTGATATTCCCGAGGGAAAACAAAATTGGTACAGATGGGGCTGTGTGTATTGGTATAATTATGTCACAATTATTAAATAATATAGTTATACATATATATTACATAATAGTAGGTAAATAATTTATCCTTTTGTGACGCGAGCGAAGCCGCGGGTAAAAGTTAGTATCAATATAAAACATGTTTGTATTGACTAATACCAAAATTCTTAGCTGTGAACGTGGTGTATAAGGACATTTTGTAGTAGGTATTTTTACATGAATATTGCACCCGTGCGAAGCCGGGGCGGGTCGCTAGTATAAAATAAAAAGTAATCGTCTTTAAAATATACTCTTTGAGAGGCTTGACTGACGGACAGACTGATAGACTATTCTTTATTTGTTGACGTTTCAAAAGTTAAGATTTAGTTAACGACTTAATTATTTTTAGTTTGAATACTTAAATGCCAACTGCGTACCCGAGACCAGATGAAGTGCAGGCGTTTGAATCTGCTCCACTCGTGTGTCGTTATGTTTAGGAAGATGAACATCGGTTCATAGGGCAGTAAACGTCCGGCCATACCTCGGCGATGAGCACTGTGAAGGTGCGGTTGGTCATGGAGTCGGGCGGCGGCAGGGCGGCGGGCTGCGCGGGGCGCTGCCAGGCCAGCCCCGCGCGCGGCGCCCACTGGCCGGCGCGCGCCAGCCGCCCGCCGCGCGCCAGCTCCGCCACCTGCAGCGCCACTTCGCGCCGCCCGCCGTCCACCTCCCACGTCACGGCGCCGCCGCCCGGGAGCCCGGCACCCTCCTCGCCGTTCCACTCCTCCTGCGACCGAGACGAAGGCTTCAGTCGTCTTACCACCTTCTTGCCCCTCTATGGAGCCCCTGTGTGCACCGAATCTGATGCAACGGCCTGCTCGGACGCTGCTTACGTCCCAGAGGGTCATGGCCATCAAAATGATCCACGGATATTGCACGACCCTCTGGGGTGGCGGCGAACCGCCTTGCCGGATTACCGCCAGGGGATCTGCAGGCGAAGGTGCTCGCGCGCGTGATTAGTACTTGGCGGGATGAGCTTCGGTGCGATCTCATGGCGGAATGGCAATAACGACTGCTCAAGTGCTCACTGTCATTACAATTAAGTGTGGGAGAGCCATGCTTCGAATGGGCCGGCTCGACCAGAGTGATACCACGGCCGAGCAGAAAACCGACGTGAAGCAACGCTTGCGTTGTATTTCGTCGTGTGAGTGAGGTTACCGGAAGCCCAATTACCCTGCCCCTTCCCCAATCTCCCCAATTCCTGAATCCCCAACGATCTTCAAACTCCTAATTCCCCAAAAGGCAGGTAACGCACTTGTAACGCCTCTGGTGATCCAGGTGTCCATGGGCGACGCCGATTGCTTACCATCAGGTGATCCGTCAGATCGTTCACAGGCTTACGCCATAAAAAAAATTACAGCGTTAAGTTCCCTCTTTGAGGAGGATTGAGTGCGGGTCTGCGTGTGGTGATTTATGGTTTGTTAGCTACCCCCAAAACATGAATATTAAATTATTTATGAAATTCTCAAAAATATATTTATAACTTGCCGATAAGTAACTAAAGAAAACCGGGCCATTTCACAAATATCATTATTTACAAAATTTTATTCAAAATTTCTCTATGATTATGATGAATACATGCCCCGCACACGCTTCCTTATCTCTGTGACTCTTGACCTGAATGAGCCTTATTTCTTAGCTCCTCTGGTGTAACCAACATGAACAGCCATGTTGGCACACTAGGCCTACTTAATTAAAGTAACTAAGTAGGTTTGAGATGAACAATGTGTAAGCCGACTGAGGGGAAACTACTCACCGAACGGAGGTAGTTAAGCAATGTGTCTGCGTGGAAGGCGCCGGCGCCGAGCTCGCAGTCCGCGTGCGCCGCGGCCGGTAGTTGCAGGCGGCGCCAGGCCTCGGCCGCCAGCCCCGCGCCCAGGTGCGCCAGCAGCAGCGCCGTGGGCGGCGCCGCCACGGTGCGCTCGGCCTCCAGCAGCTCGGGCGCGCGCTCCGCCAGCTCCGCGCCGGCGCCGGCGGCCGCGCGCAGCCGCTCCGCGTACATGGCGCGCCACTGCGCCATCACGGCCGCCACCTCGGGCGCCTCGGGGTCGAAGAGGCGCAGCGCGGTGACGTTGGCGCCGCCGTGGCTGTAGTCGTGCAGCGGGCGCGTGTGCAGGTCCAGCGCCAGCACGATGTAGGCGTGGCGCTCGGCCAGCAGCCCCACGCGCTGCGCCGCGTCCAGCACGCGCACGGCGCACTCCGCCTCGCACCACACTATGAACTGCGTGAAGCCCGACTTCTTCAACACCAGCAGAAGGTTTCTGTGAACACGCGCCACACGCGGGTTGTCAATCTAGATCATTATCTGGTTCTTGAACCTCAGATGATTCAGAGTTCATCAGTAGTTCCGGAGAGTGGAGCGTTTAAATAAACGTACCTACTCTTTGCTCGCTTTATTGCATACTACTGCCGCGCGGTTTCACCCGTTCTGCTCGGCTTCTATTGATCGTAGCGTATTGTTCTAATAGCCTATAGCTTCCTCGACATTCTTCAAAATTATTTCTCGACTCAAACAAACAAACAATTATATAATGAAGTTATTTATAACACTTACTTTCTTATTTATTTCAGAGCCAAAAACAAATATTGACTTTTTTCGTCCAAAAAATTATTTTCTACTATTAAATGCTTCCTTACTCTGACGCCTGATGGTATTTTGTTTGTTATTTTTTTATTAATAAATTTTAAGTAAGAGGGAAAAATATTTTCAACAAAAAGGAAATTGTATGTTTTAGGAACAGAAAAAAGACGGCACCACAAACTTTCGCAAAATACCTACTTAAATAAAAATGATAAGGAAGATAAAAATAATAAACAAAAATACCAGTATCTTGAACATTTCGCGTTAATTTTGAGGACATGTATAAGCACAGAAATATTCTTTATTATATCTATCGCGCGCGTGTAGTAGTACATCAATTAGAACCTGAGGAGTGCATCTTCGTGGCTGGGCGGCAGTTGGCGCGCCAGCAGCGTCGGCGGGTGGTCCCCGGCCGCCAGCAGCGCCGCGCCGCGCGCGTCCTCCTCGTGCAGCAGCACGGCGCGTCGCCAGCCCTTCGCGCGGCACAGCTCCGCGCACGCCTGCGCCAGCACCTGCGGGTGCGGCCATAGCTGCAGCGCTTCCCACGCCGCGTCGGCCGGCGCCTGCTCCACCAGCAGCAGCGGCAGCGCCGCGCGCGCTGCGCCCGCCGCTGCCAGCCGCATGGCGCGTGCGTCTCCGCCTGTCAGGACCGCACTCGCGCCGCCGGCCGCCTGCGCGCACACGGCGGCCGGCGGCGCCAGCGGCTCGGCGGGCTCGAGCGGCGCCACGGCGGCGGCGCCAGCGGCCTGCAGCGCCGCGTCCACGGCTGCCGCAAGTTGCAGCGCGCGGCCCGGCTGCTCCACCACGCCTGCAGGCACAGTATCGCTACAGAGTGGGCGGACACGCGCGTGGCGAGCGACAGGGCGGTGGCGCCGACTGACCGATGAGCAAGTCCTGCGCGGAGGCGCGCAGCAGCAGCAGCGCCAGCAGCGCGGCGGTGGCGGCTCGGTGCGTGTCCGGGAGCGCTTGCATGGTGGCGGTGCGCAGGACGCGCCGCGACTGCCGCGCGGGCGCGCGCGACCTCGTTCCCGCTATTTCTGGCGCGACACGTGTGCCGCGGGTGACGCCGGCCGACGACGTGCGACTGTTTACGACACTCGCGTGCTTTCATCTGGTTTAATTTGTCAATGTACCTCGACACAATAGTATAGAGGTAAACGAAACTCCGCTATAGCGTTGACTTTGCACGAATATTTCAAACATTCAAACTTTCATGTTTTGCTGACGACATGAAACTCTCAGCTACTATCTCAACACCCGACGATGCTCTGGCACTCCAGCCGGATTTCCATCGGCTTAAAGCATATTTTCGGATTTATAAACTAGACCTCGAGCCGTCTAAGTGTTCCGTAGTATCTAACTTACACTAAGGGCGCTGTATTTTGTAGGGAACTAGTGTTATTGAAACAACTAAAGCCGATCGGTTACGATTTATTACTAATCATCTTAGACTAATACAATATATTTTATAACATCAGCAGCGTCGAGCGTGTGACTCCTAATTTGGAGTCAGTTCGTAAGGAACTTGATGTAGCAAATGGTACAATAGCTGAGCTTAAGATGGAGAATAACTTACGTGACCAATATTCCAGAATGAACAATGTCGAAATTTCCGGGATACCGTCACATAAAAGTGAAAACCTGTTCTCCTTTTTGGGCAATATTTATACTAAGGTTGGCTTATCATTGGCCTTACGTGGCATTAACCGTGTGTACCGTGTTCGCCGTTTGGGAGAGGAAAGAAACGCACCATCCCGTCCACCTGCTATAATTGGTCAGTTTGCAAGGCAATGCTCTCAGGATCAGCTGTTGGAGCTATACGGTCTCGACGTAGTTGACCGATCCTGCTGCAAATATCTACTTCAGCGATCATCTCATACCGGCGAATAAGATACTTCTGAAGCGCGATGTCAGTGAACTTAGCAGATCATTGTCCAGCAGATCAAAAATAAATGAGAGTTCTCATTGCATGCAGAGTTCTATAGTTCCTTATACCTTTTACAAATAGTTCCGGCGTTTTTACCTTAAAAAAAGACAATTGAAAAAATGATCTGCCAACTTCCGGCAGCAGATCATAAATAAACGTCAGTTTTTATCACATATGGATTAGTTCTACAGTTCCTGATAATTTTTAGAAACAGTTCTGGTGTTTTTACCTTAAAAAAAGACAATTGGTAAAACAAAATTCCAGCAGATCATTTTACAGCAGATCAGAAATAAACGTGAACCGCAGATGGTATTATTTGCTGATGACACTTCATTAGTTTTTAAAATTAATAGACGCACAAATAGTTATGACGACGTAAATAATGCCCTAATGAAAGTTCATAATTGTAGTATTGAATGGTGAGAAATTAGAGTTTGTAAAAGAGACAACTTTCCTGGGAATTACTGTAGACGACAAATTGCAATGGGGTCCTCACATTACATCATTAGCGGGACGATTGAGCTCTGCAGCTTATGCTGTCTGGAAGATACGACAGTTAACTGACATAGACACGGCAAGACTAGTGTATTTCAGTTACTTTCATAGCATCATGTCGTATGGCATTTTGCTGTGGGGACACGCTGCTGACATTGAGTCTATCTTTATCTTACAAAAGCGCGCCGTCAGAGCTATCTACAGTCTAGGTCGTCGCGAATCACTCAGAGAAAGGTTTAAGGAGATCAACATTATGACCGTTCCATGTCAATTTATTTATGAAAACATTATGTATGTTAGGAAAAACCTACAGTTATTTGGTAAAGTGTCGGACAGACACCACTATCAAACTAGACATAAGAATAGAATTTCGAGATTAGCGAAAGTAAGTAAGTCGTTCATGGGATTCTGTGTTAAATGTTATAATAAGATACCAGGCGATGTACAACAACTAAATGAATCCAAATTTAAATTATGTATAAAGAAAACTTTATGTAGACAAGCATATTACAAACTTAATGATTATATATATAGAGGATAAAAATGCTTGGATGCAGGCTAGTCCGGCTCCACAGGATAACTAAAAACACTTGTTTTAATGAAATCGTAAATAATACAGCCATATTGCTAAATTGTATAGGTATTAGATAACCATTGTAAATGTGAGAGCCCTGTAATTAACTTAATATTAAATTAGATTAGTAGATTTCATTTGTGTCAGCTTGGAGTTGTCATGCTCACTCAAAGGTCTCATTGGCGGTGGCGCGTGCAGTGGATCGCTCGATTCCCTACAATATGGTTGAGTTGGGCGGTGCTGGTGTACGTGTCATGTTCGTGAACGGGCGCCGTCAACTGGGACTGGTCAGCTCCAGACTGTATTACTGTCCTTAAGGTTATTTTCTTTTTTGAGCACTTTGACTGGATTTTAGTGTTACATTGTTCTCGCACAATCCAAAAAACTATGTAACTAGTAAATTGTATTGTGAACCTGATTGAAAAAGAGTAACCTATGGAGTTTCTTGCTCGTTCTTCTCCATAGGAATCTACGCCTTGGAATGAGCAAATAGCTTCACTTTAAATTTTTGTTTTTGTTGACGTTCAAAAGTGCCATTCTGGCCTAATTGAAATAAATGATTTTGACTTTGACTTTGACGTGACTTCTTATCGCATGCGAATGAGTTCTACAGTTCCTTATTGTTTTCAGAAATAGTTCTATTCTCGTGTTTGTATAAAAACTAACATCTAGAAATCTAATCGAGTCCAGAACTCCCTTAAAAGTACCAGCAGAGCATGCCAGTAAGTGCAAAAATCGAATATTATCAATTTCAGCACTTCAAACGATATTGTCAATGGTTACAACTGTCCCACTCCCTAGAACTCTTTTGTTTCTCACAGTTCCGCATTAGAACTACACTTTTAAACTCTAATCGAGTCCTGAACTCTCTTTAAAGTACCAGCAGAGCATGCCAGAAAGTGCAAAAAATCGAATCTCTTATGTTTCTCACAGATTCTAGAACTACAATTTAAACAGAACTCACGTTCTATAGATTGCTACAGATACATATAAGATATATCAGTGCTACAGATTCGTAATAAATCTACTAGCATTTAAATGAACTCGGTACAAGTCCAGAGCGGTAGAACAGTTTATCAGTGTTCATCTCACTTTCAAGACAGTTCTGGACTCGATTAGATTTTTAAAATGTAGTTCTGATACAGATCTGTGAAAAACAAAAGAGTTCTATGGGAACAGTTCTAGCCCTTTACAATACCATTTGAAGTGCTGAAATGATAATATTTGATTTTTGCACTTACTGGCATGCTCTGCTGGTACTTTAAAGGGAGTTCTGGTCTCGATTAGAGATTTAAGTTGTAGTTCTAATGCGGATCTGTGAGAAACAAAAGAGTTCTAGGGAGTGGGACAGTTGTAACCATTGACGATATCGGTTGAAGTGCTGAAATTGATAATATTCGATTTTTGCACTTACTGGCATGCTCTGCTGGCACTTTTAAGGGAGTTCTGGACTCGATTAGATTTCTAGATGTTAGTTTTTATACAAACACGAGAATAGAACTATTTCTGAAAACAATAAGGAACTGTAGAACTCATTCGCATGCGATAAGAAGTCACGTTTATTTCTGATCTGCTGGAAAATGATCTGCTGGAATTTCGTTTTACCAATTGTCTTTTTTTAAGGTAAAAACACCAGAACTGTTTCTAAAAATTATCAGGAACTGTAGAACTAATCCATATGTGATAAAAACTGACGTTTATTTATGATCTGCTGCCGGAAGTTGGCAGATCATTTTTTCAATTGTCTTTTTTTAAGGTAAAAACGCCGGAACTATTTGTAAAAGGTATAAGGAACTATAGAACTCTGCATGCAATGAGAACTCTCATTTATTTTTGATCTGCTGGACAATGATCTGCTAAGTTCACTGACATTGAAGCGCGCGCGTGAGTTGAAGCAACAACGTGGTTTTGCTCAAGTATGAGTTCGCGATTGTAAAATTTTCATGAACAAGTCGGACTCCTCTAAGGCCATACGTATATCTGGTGATGGGGATCTCTCGAACATAAGGTGACCATTTTATATAGATATTATATTGTACTGTCTTATTTATTCTATACCTATACATACATTATTCAACCGTGAGGAACGCCCATTTTCATTTCGTGGTCAATATTATAGAGATTGAGAGGTTGCAAAAGAAATAATTATCCTGGCGGTAGCAGCGTTACATTGCGAACAGGTCCGCCACTGCCGGCGCGCTGTTGACCGGCAGCCAGTGCTGGTGCTGCAGTAGCACGATCACCACGTCGGCCGTGTCTCCGCTACCCGCCTCCCCGCCTCCCGCCTCCGCCGGGGCAGTGCGGACAACGCGCGCGCACGCCGCCGTTGCCTCGCAGGGCGCGCCGGTCTCCGCCTGGCACGACACGTCGCGCACAGCGGACAGGTCGCGAGCCGCGCGGTACTTGCCCACGTGGCAGCGGATTGAGGCGGTGAGGAAGTGCGCACGCGTGTTGCGCGCCGGCCGACACACGCACACCCACACGCGTGGGCCCAGCGACAGCGTCACGCAGGCGCCCGCCGACAGCGACACGCACGCGCACAGCGTCGCCGTGCGCGCCGCGCTCACCGCGTACAACGGGAAGAAAGCCAGCCATGTGATACACGTAGCGTATGCTGCCGCGCCCACGAACCTGGTCTCGTTGAAGTTGTGTGGCAGGCGCCGCGTGCGCACCGCCATGCTGACACACGCTGCCAGCAGAGTGAGCGCTGGCGCTAGCGGAATCAGCTGTGCTGGGGCTTGTTCCCCGCCACATACTAACACTGAACGTGAGCGGCCCGGGTGCACCAAGTGTGGGGTGGCTGGCCAGTTAACCGAGCTCCAAACTGCCACACAGGTGCCTGGAGCCGTTAGCGCCAGCCACGTCCACAGCTGCGCGCGCGATGATAATAGGCGCGGTCGAGCCGCCGGCCGACGTTCGCACGCCGCTACGAGTCGAGCCACGCGCACTGTGCGCGCCAGCACGGCCGCGTATACTCCGCCTAGCGCGGGCGCTGCCAGCCGCACGAGTGCGCATGGACCCGGCCCCGGCCGCAACACAGCCGCCAGCGCGGCGCCGTGACACACCGCCGCCGCGCACAGCAACAGAGCACACAGCTCGCGAGACGCCGACTTCACGACAGGCGTGGCGCGGTGTCGCCAGAACGTGACCGCGCACGTAGCTACGACAGCCAGCCCAGCCGCGCCCACCGCCGCAGCCACAGCGCGCGTGCCGTGGCCTTCGTCACCCCACTCCACGGCCGACGGCAAACAAGCTGAAATTGTAAAATAACAGAACATGAAACTGCGGTAGCCGACTTGAAGGTTAACTGTCTGCGGCACGTGTCTGCGGATGGCGAGCATTTTCCTATCAGGTGTAGAAACCAAAACAATCTGTGAAAACTGAAAAGGTCAAATTATCACGCAAACACATGTCTGGTATCGAAGCAATAGTGGGAGGTACCGGTGCGGTCTCGATCAGGGTGGTGTCCGGGTGGACAGAGCCGGCAGCCCGGTGTGGGCGGCGGCACGGTGACCTCGAGCGGCGCGCACGCCACGCAGCTCCAGCAACAACGTGCGCGTCCCGCGCCCACGCGCGCCCACTGCCCTGCGCCGCACGGTGCCGAGCACGCGGCCAGGACGCCGCGCGCACGCGCCCCTGCCGCGCCTGCGCCTCCGCGCATCTGTAGCATGCCCCGCCGCCAGCGTCCCACGCGCTCGTACCGCCATTCGCCGGCACCGCGCTCGAAGCTCATAACGTCATAATCGCTTAGCCTGAGAAGCACGCGAACATTTGACTTGTATGTGTGTGAGTTCGATCGAAAACGAATAAGGCGCTCAACCCACTACACGTTCCGTCGCATAGCGCGGGATTTGCAGACTTTACCTTTGTATGAAATGACGCCTCTTTGGCCGAGTGGTCGCAAGTGCGACTACCGGGCAAGGGGTCTCGGGTTCGATTCCCGGGTCGGTCAAAGTATTACTGGGTTTTTAAAAATCTCAGTAGTAGTACGGAGTCTGGAAATGTGCCCGGTATATGACAATAGGCTCACCCCCTATTACATGGGACTCATAACATAAATAGTGAAAATTGGGTGTTATATTGTACAGTGGCATTAAGGCCTTCCCCTTCGGGGATAAAAAGGCGTGATGTTATGTTATGAAATGACGCATACGTAGCACAAAGCACAACACACTGCCAACGCGAGGCAGATGTTACAATGGTAAAATCTGCCAGCCCATAGGTACTCACTCGGGCAGCGGGTCGCCATTGCCATCGAAGGCGACGAGGCCACCGTCTGGCGCGCGGAATCGCACCCGCGCGAGGTGGTGACGGTACTGAGACACGTTGAAGGGCAACATGGCGGCGCACAGCCCGCGCCCGCCGCGCCCGCAGGCCGCGCGCCGCATGTCGTGCAGCGCGTGCGCCAGCGCGTACACACCGCGCACCACCAGCGCCAGCTTCGGCTCCTGCGTGTAGTTGGCGGCCAGGGACTCGCGCCCTGCCCCGCCACCAGGTACTTAATGCGTGCACGTACGTTAATTAGCCACTAGCATTAGTGCATTATTGGCTAGTTGATTGGAGCGTGATGTTTTATTATAAATGTCCAACACAAAAATAACTATTATTTCATTCAGACCAGTAGTGTCAGAGATGTGCGTCGGGCGTCCGAACCAACTCATCAGCTTTATGATATAAACTAAAGAAATAAGATGTAGGTTTGTGTGTTTGTATGTGTGGCACTATTTTGGTGATCAAAGACTTTGTTCGCCACCGTTCTTTGTGAAAATCCGAACATAGAAGGATCGATAGTTCTAGTTTAGTTCTAGACGTACCTTCGCACTCCGAGCGGATAACTATTGCTCCGCAAAATGTTAGTTGATTCGTGTTTAGTGTTACATACAAACAGTTTTGTCTGTTTAATGAATTTTCAGATTCAAATAATTAAGTCAAAGTCAAAATCATTTATTTCAATTAGACCAGGAAGGCACTTTTTTTAAGGGGGGAAAATCATCAAATGACTGCTCCCGCTTGGGTGAGGCGGGAGGGAGTGTCAGACTCTTACTGACTAAAAACCACCCCGTTTCTTCTCCTGCACGTCGAGCCGGGGCCCCGGTTACCCGTTAGGTTCTCCGCCACTCCGAATCGGCATCGGCCCTGTTTGGCCCCATCTGTGGTGGTCTGATGGCTCTTTGAGGCGCGCGCGGAACGCGACCGTACGCTCGGGTCTGTTTCTGGTCAGACGGGGAGCCACCCATGCTCACCGTCCCCAGGCTCGCGCTTACGGTGGCCGGAGATCGTCCCGGGATCCCCGACGCCCGGTGTGTCCTTCGCGATGGCTGGGTTGTGAGGAGGCAGCGCTTCGCTGCCTAACGCGTCCCGCCTCCTCCTTAGTTAGCATGACTGCTTCGCAAAAGGAAGAGACGGCATCCTGTTCCCCTCGCTCCGCATCATGGCCTGCACTAGGCCCGGACGCGAGAGGTCGCCATCGCCGATCACTTCCCTGAGGGCATGGCGGTGCTCAGCCTACGCAGGGCATTCTCCTCCTGTGTGTTCCACCGTGTCCTCAGGGTGGTCCTCGCAGTGATGACACCCGGGCGTTTCCTCCCGCCCCATCAGACACAGGTACCTCCCGAAACTTCTATGTCCGGTGAGGACCTGCGTCAGGCGGTAGGTGAGGACGCCGTAGCGTCTCTCAAGCCACAAAGAGTCCCTTCTCTTACCGCTGCGATGGCAGCGAGCCCAAGGAAGGCACTTTAGAACATCAACAAAAAAAATTTAAGTGAAGCTATTTGCTCATTCCAAGGTGTAGATTCTTATGGAGAAGCACGAGCAATAAACTCCATAGGTTACTCTTTTCCCATCAGGATCACAAAACATTTTTTTGTTACATAACCTTGTTGGTTCAGTTGTGTGAAAAGGAGCAGGAGTATGGAGTTCCTACCTTATTACGTAGGAGCTTCCTTCGTTTCCACGTAGGAACTCCCTTACCAGGTTAGATTCCCCTACTATAGCAAGCATATTATAATAGCAAATTAGCAACAGTCTTTCAGGAATGAACACCTGTACAGTGTCGGCCCCCGGCCGCCGCCGCCCCCGCCGCCGACAGCGTACAATTGAACTTCTGCTCCCAAAATTCCTGCAACATTTGTAGTACATAGTAGTTAGTATCTAAATACTTGCGTTTTGTTATTATAAGACATCGAAACATACATACATATGTATGACGGTCGGGTCGTTATTATTACAGGACTACAATGAGACTGGACTAAACTTTCATGTACTTTGTTCACCATATTTGAACTTTGAAAGTGACTGAGACTTCTGAGTTTGTTTCGGCATTTCGTCTTTCTTCCCAGAGTAGTCATTTGGGAATATCGGCGTAATTTGTTTTAACCTAGTAGTGATGAAGACGTGTGCGAATTGCGGTATTAATTTTAATGATGGGGTGCAGTGTATAGGCTGCAAAAAGCACCTAGATTTTTCTTGTGCTAGTGTGTCTGAGACGACATGGAGAAAAATGGGGTCGGACCGAAGAGCACAGTGGAAATGCCTCGCTTGTAAGTCGTCGCCTGTACCTCTCTCACCACAGCCTTCTGCCTCGTTGGATACAGTGCTGAGTGAGATTCGCGAATTGAGGCAACAGTTATCAAGCCTGCCAACCTTAGTCAGCAGTATAAAGTCTATCAAAGAAGAATTGATTGAACTTAAGAAGAGTTTTGAGTTCTCCAGCGGTAGACTTGATGATTTTGACGCGAGGCTTGTAGAGTTGGAAATGAAGGCATCAGAGTTTGATAACCTAAGGGACACCGTTTCTTCGTTACAAGCAGAAGTGGTTTCAACAAGAACTGATTTCTGTTCTTTTGATCATAGAACGAGACTGAACAATGTCGAAATTAAAGGTGTCCCCGTGAAGAAAAATGAAAATCTTTTTTCGGTTCTCGATGCCATCAGTAGCAAAATAAATTATAACTGTCCTAAGACCCAGATAAACTACATCTCAAGGGTACCCATACATAATTCTAAGGAGAAATTGGTGATCGTGAGCTTCTTAAACAGGTACATTAAAGATGATTTTATAGCGGCAGCTCGTGCTAATAAGGAGCTTTCTACCAAGGACATAGGTGTTCAAGGGCCGCCAAATCGCATATATGTCAACGATCATCTTAGTATAGAATATAAAAAACTTTTAAATCGAGCTAAAACTGCCGCCAAAGAAAAACAATATGAATTCGTCTGGGTGAAGCACGGTAAAATTCATGTAAGGAAGGATGTCAACTGTAAAACCTTCATAGTCAGGCGTGAATCCGATTTAAACAAAATTATTTAGTCTGTTATTATTTACATTTAGTTTCTGAATTACCGAGTTTCTTAAACTTTTTGAAAAAGTGTCGATGTCGTCACAAGAAATTTAGTTTACTTAATTTTAGTAAAAGGTTTAGCACCTCTGCATTGATAATGATTCAATTTGACGTTCCATTTCGCAATACTTGTAGACGAGATCTGGTACATACATTTTATATATCCGCCTCGCTCACGCATACGCAAATGGTATGCTATTGCTTGCTTGCTCTCGTGATCATGTTCGCCCCGATGTTAGATTATATAAAAATTCCATTTACTTTTATTTACTTATACCTGCAATATAATTTATTAACTCTTGAATGTTTAACTTTTAATTGCCTCGATAATTATTTACTAATACGACTATTCTATGTTGCTTTTGTTGACTACTCGATTATTGTTATTAAAATATGCAATGGTTAATACCAGTGCATTAAAAATATTCTATCAAAATGTTCGTGGACTTCGAACAAAAACTAATTCCTTCTACCGTCAGCTTCTACAGAGTTCTTATGATGTTATTATCATAACGGAGACGTGGTTATTGGATGGAGTACTAAACTCGGAGCTATTTGATGGTCGCTATTTGGTATGGCGCCGTGACAGAGATTATGTTATGACCGGCCAAACGAGAGGTGGTGGTGTACTTATAGCAACGCGCAGGGAATTGTCAGTCACTCCAGTATCACTTTTGCATTCATCAGCGGAGGATCTCTGGATCAAATTGCAGCTAAAAAATTCAGGGTCACGAGAATACGTCAATTTATACATTTGTGCAGTGTATTTGTGTAAACAAAATAAAGGGTTATCGTTCTCGCAACAGCTTAGCAACTTCCTTTCTAAATTAAACAATGCAATTCTATATAGAACAAATACCGACGTATTTTTAGTCTTAGGAGATTTTAATATGAGTGGTATCACGTGGATACCTTCTAATGATCATTCTATGGCCCCGTTAAATCCCACCACTAGTGATGAATGTTTATTTGTTGATGAGCTATCTACAATGGACTTAGTACAGTTTAATGGGGTTGCTAACGGGTATGGCAAGTTTTTGGACTTGGTCCTCTCAAATAAGTTAGCCTGTGTTAGTGAATGTGTTGATCCTCTAGTACCTATTGACCCGTATCATCCTGCATTATTAATTAATATTGATATCTTTGAAATACCTCCCCTTGACCATGCGCCGCGTTTGCGGTATATTTACAGTAGGGGTGATTTTGATTCCATTAATGGAGAGATTGCTGCTATCGATTGGGAGGCTGAATTTTCGGTTCGGTCGCTTGATGAATCAGTTGATTTTTTTATTGGTACAATAAAATCATTAGAAAAGAAGTTTATACCACAAAAGTTAATACGCAATAATAAATATCCAGTATGGTTCAGCTCGTCACTTGTAAAAACTATTAAAGAAAAATATAAATACTTAAGAAAATTTAAGATATATGGTAATAAATCAGACGAGACAACTTTCAAATGTTTACGTGATAGAGTTAAGACTATGGAGGATATATGTTACAAATCATATCTGACACATACTGAAAATTCCATTAAAACTAACCCTAAACACTTCTGGAGTTTTGTTAAAAATCGCCATAACTCTAATACCGTACCTAATACATTGAACTACAATGGTAACACGTTAGTTACTGGGGATTCTATCTGCGAGGCTTTTTCTTCTTATTTCATGTCCACCTTCCTCTGTCGCACTTCGTCTGATAGTTCCTCACGAGTCCCGGCCGCCACCTCGACTGTTATCGGTAATTTATCTGACATTTACCACATTAGGATTGAGGCGGATGAAGTAGCCGCTTTAGTACGTAATCTAGACCCAGCGAAGGGTGCTGGCCCTGATGAAATATCGTCTAAATTGCTTATAAAATGCGCACCTTCCATTGCCATACCTATCTCCATTCTGTTTTCTAAATCGCTGACTCAAGGTTTAGTCCCCAAAATATGGAAAGCCGCCTTTATTACGCCGGTTTATAAGAAGGGGTCAAGAACCGAGATCACTAATTATAGGCCTATCTCCAAATTGTGCATTATAGCTAAGGTATTTGAGAGGATTGTCTACAAGCAGTTATACTCCGCCTTGGCCAATTCATTTAACTCCTTTCAACACGGATTTTTGAGAGGGAGGTCTACTATTTCCAACCTAATTCTTTTTAATGACTCTGTCACGGATGCTATGGATAAAGGTAAGCAGGTTGATGTGGTTTACACAGATTACAGCAAGGCGTTTGACCGGATTGACCACGATATCCTGTTACAGAAGCTTATTGACACAGGCATCAGCGGCGACCTCTTGAGGTGGTTCGCTTCATACATCGACAATAGGTCACAAGCAGTAGTACTCAATAACTACATTTCTAGCTGGGTAAATGTACCCAGCGGAGTACCTCAGGGATCGTTGCTCGGTCCTTTTCTATTCGTGATCTATGTAAACGACATCAACAAGTGCTTTCATACATCCAAACTTTTATGTTTTGCTGATGACATGAAACTGTCAGCTACTATCTCAACTCCTGATGATGGTCTGGCACTCCAGGCGGATTTGCATCGGCTTGAAGAGTACTGTCGGATGAATAAACTGGATCTCAACCCATCTAAGTGTTCCGTAGTCACTTACACTAGAAAGCGCACTGTCCATGTCACTAATTATACTTTAGCGGGTCAGTCCTTACCAAGATGCGCTACAATCCGTGACTTAGGCGTCCATCAAGACAGCAAATTGGTTTTCGATACACATATTGATGCAATCGTCAAAAAAGCCTCTAAACTGCTTGGATTTATAATGCGTCTTTCAAAAAACTTCACCGATGCAAAGACCCTTAAAATACTATATTGCACTTATGTCAGGAGCCAGCTGGAGTATGCGTCTCAGGTATGGAATCCAAGATATCAGAAATATATTGACCGCGTGGAAAACATTCAAAAACGTTTTATAAAATATCTCTGCTTTCACCAAAATATACCATACCAGTCTGCCCGTTATCTTGAACTGTAGAAAATTCCATCTATTACCATTAGTAGATAGACGCAATATTGCAGATTGTCTATTCTTGTTTAAGGTTCTTAACGGCAATGTGGATAGTCCAGAACTATTATCAAAAATCAAATTTAATGTACCTAATAAAATATTTAGATTTAATCCACCTTTACACGTATCCCGTTCCTCATCTAACTACAGGCAGAACAGTTACATAGTGCGTGCAAGCAGACACTTTAACAATGTTTGTAAGGAATATGACTTCGATCCGTTTACAACTAGTGTGAACTCGGCAAAGAGGTGCTTAAGCCTCAAATTTTTTAAGCAGCACTAGATATTTAGTTTTTTTTTATCGTTTCTCTTGATCTATTTATTATATTGTTATTTATATTGTCTGTACGGTCTGTTTCAGTATTATTCTTTTTTTTTTTCATTTATGCAGAATGTATGTATTTTTTAATATTGTATAGTACTCACACCATATTAATTAATTTATTCCAGATCATAAAAGTGAGGACTTGTTATTGGCTCATTGTTACCTACGCCTATTGTTATTTTTATCCATTTTTATAAGCTGTAAGTCTTCCATGAATTATAAATAAATAAATAAATAAATAAATAAATAAGTAATTAAAACGTGAACAAGTAAAAGTGCAATTTACCAAAATAAACAATCGTCTGTGTATCTGTCGCCCGCGACTTAGGTCGCGTAGAATATGAATTTTAGAACATACCTTTCTTTTTGTTTTAATTTTAACCAAAATAAAAGTAGCCTATGTTACCTTAGGACATCAGCTAACTGCCAATAAAAGTGCCGTCAAAATCGGTTCAGCCATTCCAGAGATTAGCCAGTACAAACAGACAGACAGACAAACGAAAATTGTAAAAAATATATTTTTGTCTCAAGTGTACATGATTATGGATATTAGACCTGTTAACTTCTATTGTTTGTATTTGAATTTAAGTATTCATAATTGAAAACCTGGAACCAAGGATTCCTTGAGTTGTTGTGTGGCGTGAGTGCGAGGTAGTATCTGTCGAAGTGATCGAGGTACGGCGAGCGGATGCGTAGTGTGAGCGCGTGCAGAGCGGCGTGCTCCAAGCCCTCCACTACGTCGCGGCGGTCCGCCCAGCCGTCGCTGGCCACCAGCCGCAGGCGGCGGCGCGGCGCGCGCGCCAGCCCCGCCAGCAGCGCGCGCGCCGTGCGGCCCTCGCACCAGCACACCGCCACCTGCGGGCCGCGCGCCAGCTGCGCAAGCGCCGCGTCCACCGCCGCGGCCGACGGCGCCGCGCGCAGCGCCACCTCCCGAGCCACGCACACGCCACCGCGCGCCGCCTCCTCTCGGAACGCCGCCATGCCGCTTTGCCCGTAGCTCTCTGCCGCATGCCGTGCGATGCAGAAGGCAAAATGACAAATACGAGTCAGGCTCTACAGATGAGCTTTTGTATATGCACATTGAAGACTACTAAAGGTATTGTTTAACACTGGTTACTACATAAGAGACCAACTCGCAGCGGAGGTACGCCTGCGTCCCTGCGGCCACTGACCGTCTGTGTGCAGCGCGTGGACGTAGGTCCAGTTGTGCGCGCGCAACAGTGCCACGAGCAATCTCGCTTGGTGCTTGTCGGACGGCACCACGCGGAAGAACGTGGAGAAGCGGGCACGATCTGACAGCTCCCGCGCCGTCGCCGAGTACGACACCTGGCACAAGCGCGAGGTCACTACGAGCACGGCCCTGAGCACGGCGGGTGGCGGGCGGGCGCCGGGCCTACCTGCGGGATGGAGAACAGCTGCAGCAAGTTTTGCACCTGCACAGCTGCAGAGCTGGCGCCAGGACCCAGCACTGCTACCAACGGGGTCGCAGGCGCTCGCCCCGACTCGCTTGTCTATAAGCAAAATACTCTGTGTGATGATGATGAGTATACAGGGTGATTTGTTATGAGACCGTGCGGTTATAAAGAAGATCATTTCAAACATTTTTGTGTTCATTTCAAAACACCATACGAGATTATGCTCTAATAACAAATCACGTGCATAGGATGGGATGAATCATTCTTAGACTGACTCACAAATGCCATGAGTACAAAATCTTTATAATTTTCAGTGAGCCCCATTAACGATTAAAGATGCGTGTATTTGTCAGCTGTCGCATTATTGGCCCATCTCGCTTCCGAGCCATGTATATAAGCTGTTTTCGAGGATCATCACGAACCGTCTCGACCGTAGGTTTGATGACTTCCAGCCTCCCGAACAAGCCGGGTTCCAGAAAGGCTTTAGCACCATATACCACATTCATACGCTGCGGCAAGTTATACAGAAGACTGAGGAGTATAACTTGCCACTATGCTTGGCGTTTGTCGCACGAAGAATCCAACTCGGATAGGCAGCGTTCGGGAAGTTACGCTAAATCTTCTCATCGAAAATATCTCAGTGCCTAAGGACCAGGATGTTCAACCAGTATGTGTTGCCAATGATGACGTATGGTACCGAGACGTGGTCCCTGACCTCTGGCCTTCTGGAGAAGCTCAAAGTCGCTCAGCGTGCGATGGAGACAGCTATATGTTCGGGGTTTCGTTGTGCGACAAAATCCGAAATATGGAATTCGACAAAGAACAAAAGTTACCGACATAACTCGTAAAATCTGCGACTGAAGTGGCAATGCCCAGGCCACGTCGCTTGAAGGACTGATGGTAAATGGGCCAGGAACGTCCTTGAGTGGAGACCACGGACCGGAAGACGAAGCGTGGGCAGGCGTCCCGCTAGGTGGACCGACGACATCGCCAGAGTTGCGGGGAGCCAGTGGATGCAGGTGGCGAGTTGTCGTGCAACGTGGAGGGAGGAGGAGGGGGAGGCCTTTGTCCAGCAGGGAACGTCTTCCGGCTGTTGATGATGATGATGATTCATTATTAGTATCCGTTATAGTTTTGTTTCTAATTTTCTTTTGGTGGGTTTATCTGTTTTATTTATTACTAGCGACCCGCCCCGGCTTCGCTCGGGTGCAATATGCTAATATGCATGTATTATGTATTATACATGTTATAAAGAAATAAGGTTTATTTATTTATTTTTTACACATCTCTGTCGGTAAAGTAGAAGTTTATTTAGAAGGATAATAGATGGAGCTATCACCTCCATTGTTTCTTTATCGGTAAAGACGGTGAAATAAAGATGTCAAAATCGACGTTTATGTCACAAGATATTGAAATAGACAAATTAATAATAAATAGTAGGTACCTAAATATAATACGGGAATCGACATGCCTAGTAATAATCTTTAAATGTCGTTTCTTTTGATTACAGAAGCAACACATTGCGTTTATTATGATGGATTCCCAATAATTGGTCTTATATACATATAAACCTTCCTTAAGAATCACTCTATCCATTAAAAACCGCATCAAAATCCGTTGCGTAGTTTTAAAGATCTAAGCATACATAGGGACAGACAGACGGCGGATAGCGACTTTGTTTTATACTATGTAGTGATGATTTTAAATTTATTTAAGCATTTTATATAAGTACGCTTCACGGCAAAACATAGCGACCTCCAATTCTTTTGTAACACCATTATATATATATATGCGACCATTAATCGTTGGGGCTTTACATTGCAGGCTCTACGTCAGGGTGTGAGATGGAAATGAGGTTCGAATGCGCGAAAACTATAGTGAAAACGTTTATTAACCGAACAGGTGTCCACAAAACTACACAAACAGGGGTGAACTTAAAATTAGTTAATGTAACCTGGTATATATATATACCTATTGAATTAATAAAATATAACACTGGCTGCTTTACAGTGTTTGGTTTTTGAATAGTTCTGCCAGGTGGCACTTTATGTTGTTGTTTCGTTCCGTTGTTGTTCTTACCTTTCATAGAAGTATGTGCAAGTAAATAAAAGTAAATAATTATTTACAAGAATACAATCTTTTATTAGAATTCCTAGCCCCTAACTCAATATAATACCTATGTTATACAAATAAATATTCTGATCCTGGTTACAATATTTTTGTTAGTCTGTAAGGTTAGTAAGGTAATCTATGGGCCATAGTTGCCTGATAATAAAGGTTGAGATATAAAAAAGTATAATAAATATTCTGCAGCCGTTGTCGAGTACACTAGAACCAGTAGTGGTGACGCGAGCTCGACGCTGTGCTCGAGGACTCTCGTTGTCGCTGCTCGACGGCCATGTCACGTCACCTCACTGCGACAGCTGTGAGATAACACAACGCACTGACACACCAGCGCAACTGGAACGTGTGACACAATACCAAACATGATAAATAAAATTACATGTAAGAATTACCTAAGAAAGGTAATGCCCTTTTTTTTTTTTTTTTTTTTTAAGGGGGGAAAATCATCGAATGACTGCTCCCGCCTGGGTGAGGCGGAAGGGAGTGTCAGACTCTTACTGACTAAAAACCACCCCGTTCCTTCTCCTGCACGTCGAGCCGGAGCCCCGGTTACCCGTTAGGTTCTCCGCGACTCCGAATCGGCATCGGCCCTATTGGGCCCCATCTGTGGTGGTCTGATGGCTCTTTGAGGCGCGCGCGGAACGCGACGCGCCGTACGCTCGGGTCTGTTTCTGGTCGGACGGGGAGCCACCCATGCTCGCCGTCCGCAGGCCCGCGCTTACGGTGGCCGGAGATCGTCCCGCGATCCCCGACGCCCGGTGTGTCCTTCGCGATGGCTGGGTTGCGAGGAGGCAGCGCTTCGCTGCCTCGCGCGTCCCGCCTCCTCCTTAGCCAGCATGACTGCTTCGCAAAAGGAGGAGACGGCATCCCAGTCCCCCTCGCTCCGCATCATGGCCTGAACTAGGCCCGGACGCGAGAGGTCTCCATCGCCGATCACTTCCCTGAGGGCACGGCGGTGCTCAGCCCACGCAGGGCATTCCGCAACAGTGTGTTCCACCGTGTCCTCAGGGCGGTCCTCGCAGTGATGACACCCGGGCGTTTCCTCCCGCCCCATCAGACACAGGTACCTCCCGAAACTTCCATGTCCGGTGAGGACCTGCGTCAGGCGGTAGGTGAGGACGCCGTAGCGTCTCTCAAGCCACTCCTCAAAGAGGGGACTTACCGCTGCAATGGCAGCGAGCCCAAAGGTAATGCCCTAAGAACGCAATTCAATGATTTATATAATGTTGTATTGATCGACTTCTTGTTCCAGTTCATTATATTATACGAAGGCCTAAGAGAGGTAACTGCAGGGGCGGAGCGTGACTTTGCGGGGCCCTGGGTTAATACGACTCGAGGGCCGGTTTTCTATGGTGATATAGGTAGTCTACGAATAAAAAAACGACTGATAAAAATATTTATCAATACAAACTTATAGAATTTTTTTTTTTAAGGGGGAAAATCATCGAATTACTGCTCCCGCCTGGGTGAGGCGGAAGGGAGTGTCAGGCTCTTACTGACTAAAAACCACCCCGTTCCTTCTCCTGCACGTCGAGCCGGAGCCTCGGTTACCCGTTAGGTTCTCCGCGACAATTTTTTATTGTATACCTACGTCATAGCGCCAGTAATAATACTCTACAATATTATTTAATACATCATGGCCTGAAAATTTTGGCGGAAAGGAGATCGGCTCCATACATTTTTGGGCATGTTCTGCAAGTCGGCCAACAAAAAAATGGTACGTATTGTTAGATCTAGCCATTTGGAGCAATAGTTAATATGGCATAAAAGTTGTAGGATGTTGTATAGTTTATAGTTGCAAGATGAAGAAGTTATACCAGTTTGAAGATTTCTTTCTTTCTTTCATATTGCTAGAATATAGAATCTGAATCAATTGTGATGATAACGTGAAAAGATTTCGCAGTCATCTTTGTTTTTTAGTTTAAATATCTTCAACTGACTCCTTTCATCCTGGGAGGGAAGTAGGAGGGAGTTCCAGACCGTAACTGACTAAAAACCAACGTTTCTACTCCTGCCTTTCGAGCCGGAGCACCGGCAACCCGGTAAGGCTTCCGCGACTTTATATCGGCATCTGCTCTATAAGGCGCGCGCGGAACGCGACGCGCCGTACGGGTCTGGTTCTGGTCGGGCAGCGAGCTACACATGCTCGCCGTCCGCAGGCCTTCGCCGTGGCCGGGGAAGATTGTGGTGTGCTCTTCCGATTTCTATTACTGTTTTTGTCCAGCAATTGTCCAAGATCTATGGTGGTGCGGGCGGCGCATGTCCGAGGTAGCAAAATGGAAATCGAAAAGAGCACATCCAAATGTACAAAGTTAGGTAGGCACCGGACATTCCACGTTTGTTTCAAGCCCAACAATCCGTTGGGTAGATAGAAGTAATATCCCTAGTAATATCCGCCCCTGTATTACTGTTATAGTTAATGGAAGGTCAAAATATCAGTTAAGCACATTTATATGTATATTTGGACCAAAAGTAAACTAAGGCGGTCTAGTCAGTCTGTATATGGCACACTTCACCCCAAACATTGAAAGTCTATTACGCAGTCGAATTAAGAATTTTATATTACACTAGCGGGCTGGCAGTCCGGTGCGTGCTTCGCAATGTACCAAGTGACGTAATAATACCAATCGCAAACTTCACATAATCCATCTGCTGCAAAATCTGAATAAAACCTAAACATTTGGTTTGGGTCGGTGAGCCCGCTCTTGAGTTATAAAATAACAATAAAAAGTGGCATTGGTTATTATATACCATACAAGGTATTTTTTTTTTTTTAAGGGGGGAAAATCATCGAATGACTGCTCCCGCCTGGGTGCATGAGGCGGAAGGGAGTGTCAGACTCTTGACACTGACTAAAAACCACCCCGTTCCTTCTCCTGCACGTCGAGCCGGAGCCCCGATTACCCGTTAGGTTCTCCGCACAATACAAGGTATAGTGTTCGTTCAAAAAGTTTGTATCACATATCTATGTACTTATATTTATTAATCTGTAGTCCATTCATTTCATTCTACCTTCTACGTATTTACTTTAGTGTCAAATATAATTTCGAAACAACCACATGTCTTTCATTGGAAAAGCAACACAAGCAAACTGCATTTTCTTAAAAACTGGCTTTGTGTCGCATTTTCTTAAAAACTGGCTTTGTGTCGTTCGTCTTAGGGATCCATGCTGTGGGATACATACTCAGAAGACTACACTTGCCTTGAAAATAAATGCCGTAAAAATACAAAACGAGATATAAAAATAAAGATACTTCAAAAAGGCCAGAAGAATATAACCATAGTATGTACAATATCGTCTAGAGGACAGTAATATGTTAAAATGAAAATATATAGGTACAGTACAGACCGCCGCGCACAGTCCGGTCTTGCCACTGATCAGAGATTGCCGGTGGAGTGCCTCCGATGGGGCAATAGCATCGCGCACTAGGTCAATGGTCTGCCGCAGAGCCGTGGGAGCTGCCCAGCACGAGTCGCGTAAGTCGGCGCCCAGACGCAGCCACGGCAGCAGTCGACGGTCTGCGTTTATGGCATCTAGAGCCATCAACGTCGCTTCGACGCGTTGGATGCCATAGTGCTCGCGGACCATTCCGCAGGCCGCACCCGCTCGCGCTTCCATCGGCGCTCCGTGCACGGCGAACAGAGCACCGAGGCGTACGGCGCCGCGTACCCGCGCACTCTCGCCGGCAGCCGGCGCCGCGCGCCCCACCAGCCACGCAGCGGCCACGACGAGGGCGTGTCTTGCGTGCATCTCAGAGCCTGCCCCTTGCACACTGCCCAACTGCCCAACTGCTTGCCGCTCAGTCACCGCTGTAGGCCCGTTCCCTTGGACTTGCGCAATACGCTATGCGCTACTACTTCTTCGCAGGCGGTTTGTCAAGTTGGTAATACATACATAATTTTATTATCTACATAGGTATTTATATTTATTTTGAAAAACTTGGTTTCTATATTGTTAAATAATTTACCTAAATTGAAAACCTTTATGGGAAGGGATGGGAAAGAGTCTGTTATGTATGACGCCAAAAATCTTATAAATATCTTATCTAATACTCTTACACTATCTTATATCTTATAATTCTTATATTCTTCTACTATTATATAAAGCGAAAGAGTTTGTTTTTTGTTTATTAGTTTGAACGCGCTAATCTCCGTAACTACAAGTCTGATTTGAATAATTCTTTTTGTGTTAAATAGCGCATTTATCGAGAATGGCTATAGGCTATAGAACATCACGCTACGACCAATAGGAGCTGAGCAGAGCGTGGAAAATCGCGCGGAAGTAGTATACAATAAAATCCCAAACAACATAAAACATTTCAATATTAGTAGTATATTTAAAAACCAATTAAAATCCATCTTATCCAAGAAATGTTATTGCAATGTAAACGACTTCTTCAATGACAGTAATCTCTAGGACATGTGTAAGTTGAACTTTTCATTATTTTAATTATTTAACGCACTGACATTTTAATGTATTTTAATTACACTTTGACGTTTTTATTTTGATATTCTATCTTTATTGACTTAAGTAACAATATTTCATACGCCTGTGAAGTGGGAGGGCAGATTTTGGTGGTACTTACTACTACTTACTACTACTTTTGGTAGTATTACTGGGTTTTTAAGCGTGGGAGAGCCATACTTCGGCACGAACGGCACGTGTGAGTGAGATTACCGGAGGCCCAATTACCCTCCCCTTCCGGACGGGGACAAAATGTCCTCCTCCAGCCTGGGACGCTTACACGTCCCCGTCACGCGACGACGTGAGCCCTTCGAGCTCACGCTCAGTCGCTCCGCCAGCGACAAAAACCTATCCAAATCGTAGACTATAAGTTGCTGAAGCTAAATTAAAAATTTTGTCGCCCTAGGTCTAATACGAAAATAGTAAAAAATTTTTGATTGAAATATTTTGGTCCAAAGTAACTTTAGGGGTGGAAATTAATTCGGGGGTTGAACCCTCGACTACAAAAAGTACCGAAATGGTTATTGGGAGCTTAGAGGAGATGATAAAAACTGAAAACTGCTCCGAAATCGGTTGTTTGGTTTCCAAGATATTTCGGTTAGGTTAGGTTAGGTTTTTTTTTTATATATACAGCAGGAGGGGAAATTCTCATGGAGACTCACACCTCCCCACGAGTAGGGAGGTGTGAGTACTGCCGGACTCTTACCGGCTAAAACCTACTCCTGCTGTGCCGAGTTGCTCCCCTAACATGATCAGGGTCCTGAGTGTAACAAAGTATGATAACACAATTTTGGGAACCATTTTCAAATATAAGTATATAGAGGTATATATGTAGGTCAATAGATATTTTAGTATGTAAATAATAATATATAAATAGTATAAAACATTAATACATAAAATATAAATATTTGACGCTAATGTCGTAATATTCTCGAAAATACAAGTACCTAGCGCCACTTTCTGCCCTTCGCTTGACACATTTTATTGAGGTTTGGCGCTTTCCGTCATCGTCGTGCCGTGTTCACGCAAACGCTCCACCACGTGTAACATGTCTTTTAGAGACGTTTGCGTGGCCTTGTAGGACTTTCGACGAGATGTCTAAGCAGCCAGAACCTGTGTATAGCAAGCGAAGGACATCGTCTACGTTCCCAGCTTTTATTTGTTCCCTGACCACGTTGCATTGGATGTTGCAGGCACCCAGCGGCGACGGCCGGACTTCTTGAAACAGTATGCGGGCCGCAGGAGAACCAACGGCGCCAGCCCCCGAATGGTTTATGCCTCGATGTTTGGACCACAACGGCAAGGTTCTTCTGTTTAGAACAAATTGGGCCATTTTCCTATGAAGATGGATGCCATTTATCTGCTTCAGTTCCAAGCCGCTGTGATCTGAGTCATTTTGCTTTTTGTCTGGCACGCCGTCCGCCTCCCGCTCGCAAGCGCTCAGCACACCCATGTCACTAGCAGATGTTGTCTCGTCACCGTCGGGAGCCCGCAAACGTGCGATAATCACCTCGTAGGGGAGACTTTCCAAATGTGTGTTGGTGTCTGTTCCAATAGTGACTGCCTGTGGGACGCCAAATTCCACCTTAGCAGTAGCTAACGGCTGATCGGGCCAAGGCGTCCCACTTCCTACGAATAGGACAGTCTTGGGCGAAAATAGAATGCCCTGTGTCGAGTTGCCCATCCCTTCTGCAGTTAATGCAAGAAGGCCTCTCCCCCTCTGCGGACCTAGGGCAATTCGCCTGAAGGTGGGGCCCCCCGCAATGGTTGCACAGGGCCACCAATTTTGACTCCCCTATTTGCACGGCTGTTGCTTTGAGCAGCTCGCTGTGCTCCGCCATTTTTAAAACGAGGTCTTTTTCTTGCGTGCCAATGTTTCCCGGTGCAGGGGCCACCAAACCCGCAATCTCTCCGACCTCAGGGAGCCGCTGGTGTTCGGACTCTTTAACCAGCTGGTAGAGGCGCTCAATGGCTAGTATCGCCTGGGTCTTGACCTCTATCTTCAGAATTCTCGCAAGACCCAATTGACACTTGGCCTGTTTCAGCCAGTATCGCGCCTCCACCGTCCGGTTCTCAAATGTTCGAGCTGGCTGAGGGAACTTCGGTGAGGATGCGAGCTCAGACGGCCTACGCTCACGCGGTTTGCCGCGCTGTACACAATTTGGCGGGACCGGACCGCGGTGCGTATTTGGCTGCCATCCGGGTTCAGGAAACAGACACCGGACTGGATTGGGAGGGGCCGAAAACTCGGGGGTTGTATCGTACATCACGGCTGGGGGAGCGATCAAAGTGTAGGGAGCACCTGGCTCTCAAATATGTGTACTGAATCCCTGTAAAGTGGGGATTCAATGTCCAAATTATAAAAACTAATTTTTCCCTGTACCTATAGAGGGGTTATCAATTGAACTTAATGATATATAAATAATTAAAATAATACCCTGTAACAGGGGGTCAATAAAAATAATAAAATTTGTCAATAATTAATAATAAATACCAATAATAAATTGTGTCAAATTTGGATTTTCAAATTAAATCTGTGTCTAAATTACAGCTCAGACGTGGTGGAAACCAAGAAATATTTGGGTAAAAAGATGTCGTCCGTCCGTCCGAAACGTCAATAAAAATTTTTAGGGTCCAGAAAAGGTTTCCCTGTCCTTTCTCTACATAGTATAAGGGCGGGCGGGAGGTCAAAATTTGAAATTTTTTGTGATCCGATCAGGGCGTGCGATATGTCGGGAGAAGCGTCTCGGCGCTGGCCGTCCAAACGAGTGAAAATCCCGGGTCGGTTTCCCGAAATAATTTAAAGTTTTGAATGAAAAACGAGATTTTTCACCAAATTTTGGTCAATTGCGAGGATTTTTCGCGAAACGTCGGGAGTTAGTGAGTCAAAAACCAAATCCAAATCGTAGACTATAAGTTGCTGACGCTAAATTAAAAATTTTGTCGCCCTAGGTCTAATACCAAAATAGTTAAAAAATATTTGAAATATTTTGGTCCAAAGTAACTTTAAGGGTGGAAATTAATTCGGGGCTTGAACCCTCGACTACAAAAAGTACCGAAATGGTTATTGGGAGCTTAGAGGAGATGGTGAAAACTGCTCCGAAATCGGTTGTTTGGTCTCAAAGATATTTCGGTTAGGTTAGGTTAGGTTAGGTTAGGTTAGGTTGGGGATCCCCCCACAGTGCTGACTTCCTCGTAGTGATCCCCGGGCAACGCCGTGTCTGACCACCGTAACGGAGTGGCAGACCGGCGGCTAACGAGCGCTGTGAATTCGTACGTCTTTTTTGCGGTTTGTGCAGCGATATGTCGTCTTCGCCTATGTCGAAGCCTCTGCGGGACGCCTCCGGGCGCTTCCTGTCAAAACGCCCTTCTCAGGGCGAACCCAACGGCCCTTCTCAGGGCCAATCAAACGGCCCTTATCAGGGCCAAACCGACATGTTGTCGGACGCTAGCCGCGCACCATCTGCGGCTAGCTTGTTTTGTCGGGCGGACGAGTTGTCGGACTGTGAGGAGTCCACAACTGAGTCGCAGGCGGCCACCAGCCGCTATGAACTAAAGCGGGCCTACGTAAGGCTCGAGTCGGACGACTCATTGGAGTCGTTCGGTAAGACTAAACGGAAGGTGAAGGCCAAATCCAGTGCCCACGACGTGGGGCTCGATGAGGCTCAACGCCAACTGAGGGCGTCTCTGGCCCAAGCCAGACGACTGGAGGGGCAGAAGGACCTGGAGGAGAAGGTCGCCGCCAAAGAGCGCGCAACAAGCGCCACGAGGTCCAGGGCTGGCTACGGGGCGTCCAACGTCCTGTACGCGGACCATTCGGTTGCTGAATTGGCACAAATGGCGTTGGAGGACAAGGAGGAGATAGTGGAGGTCGCCTCTAAGTCCTCAAACTTGAAAGGGACCTTCCAGAAAGCCCTCAAATGTCGTGCTGCCAGCATGCACGGCATTATCGCGGAGCTGGTGCAGCGCACGGCGACGGAGGAGTCGCGGCAACTGCAGGCGCGGGTCGATCGCCTTCAAGCTGAGGTCAGCGACCTCCACAAAAAACTGGCTGAAGCCACAGCTCCATCGGCCAGCAACGCGGTGGCAACAGGCCCTTCCTCTTACTCCTCGTCCAACCTTGAGGATATAATCCGGAAGGTTATAATGGAGGAAAGGGCCTTCACCAGAGCCTGCTTTGCGGGCATTGAGGACCGGCTGTTGCCGGAGAAGCGCATCCGCCCTCCACTCGCGGCGGACAGAGCGCAATCTGCAGCATTGCCACCGCCAGTAGCTGCAACCACCAGCGGACTGCCCCAG